TTCTCCTTCTCCTTTCCTTTCTCTTTCCCCTTGGATCCCAAGCGCCTGGGTTTGAATGAACCCAGGCCTTGGATCCCAGGTGCTTGGGTTTGAACAAACACAGCGCTTGGGTTCGGCCCTTGGATCCTAGGCGTGCTGGGTTCGGTGGAACCCAGTATGCCTAGGTTCGGTCAAACCCAGGTGTTAGGTTCGTAAAGAACCCAGCATGCTTGGGTTCCTTCGAACTTAGCATGCCTAGGTTCCATTGAACCCAGATGAAAAATAAAAAAAAAAAAAAAATTTCTGCTTTTGTTTTTTGGATTTTGTTGTTTGATGGTGATGAAAAATTGATTGATGAAGATGAAGAAGGCAAGGCAAGGTAGTCATTGGGTTTCTATAGGTTTTTGTAGGTGCTAGGTTTGAAATCAAACCTAGTAAGTGCCTGCTAGGTTTCGTTTCAAACCCAATAGCTGCTGGGTCCATGGAACCCAATGGTTGCTAGGTTTGAGCAGTCGTTGGGTTCCTGCAAGTGAGGTGTTAGATTCCATTTCAAACCCAGCAGCCGTTGGGTCGATGGATCTGTTGAGTTTGATTTGGTTATCAATTTGCTGTTGGTGTGTTATCATTCTTAAGGTGCTGGGTTCAATTTTGAACCTAGTAGGTGATCAAACCCAGCAAGCGTTGGGTTCTATTTCGAACCCAGTAGCTGTTGGGTCGAAAGATCCATTGAGTTCAATCAATTGATTTGTTGTGTTATCCTTAAATTTAATAGTAGGAGGTGTTAGGGTTTGCAGAAGGTGAAAGAAAAGGGAGAGGAAGAAGAAAGGGAAAAAGGAAAAACAAAGGAAGAAAAAAGAAGGAAAAAGAAATTTTTTAAGGTTTTTCTTGCAATCTCATTTTTTTGCCATGTTGTACATCCTAGGTGTTAAAATGCTTTTATATGTCATCCTTTTCCCGTCAAGTAACGGGACACATAGGTTGATATTTAACGAAAGGACCAAATTGGAGTAAAATGGTAAATAGTAAGGATCAAATTAGGGATTTTTTTTAATTTAAAGACTAAATTGGGAGCCTGTACAATAGTTCAGGAACCAAAATGAGGTTTTAGCCTTTTTTTTTTTTCTTATAAAAGTCAAAGGAACTTTACAGCCTTAAGCTAAATTTTTTTTTTTTTTGGAAAAAGGCAAGTTTTCCATTAGACGTTAGATGACATGTACAATTTTCTCCCAGGTATACTTGGGGAATTACATCTTTCAAATCTTTAATCTCAAAAAATTAACTATATCATTATATACATCCTTTTCAACCAAAAACTTACTCAGAGTTACTCTCCTATTTCTTTCCTGCCAAATCATATATATAGTGGCAGCTACCGCAGCCTTCAACTTGTTTGACTGCGTCGATCGGCCTTTACATGCCTTCTTTAACCATAGCCATTCAACACTCCACCTTTTTGGTTGTCTGTGAATATTCAAGAAGTCCAAGACTAACCTCCACACTTCTTTAGCAAAACTACAATAAAAAAAAGGTGCTCACAAGTTTCATCATATCTACCACACAAGCAGCACCCTTTCTCAATTCTCATACCTTTGCTTGTTAGTAAATCTCTAGTTTTTAGTCTACCTCGCAATACCAACCAAAAGATGAATCTATGTCACGGGAAAATGCACCCTACCCAAACAATATGATGCCATTCTACCTTAGGGCGTTTCACTCTTAGGAACTCATAGCAACTTGAAATAGTAAACAAACCATTCTTTGCAGGTTTCCATACAGCCTTGTCCACTTGTTGAGATAGTTTTTTACATCTAATAATCTGGACAAGCATGGGATGTCTTCTCACAAAACTATCTGGAATGGTCCAATCTAAACCATCCCACCACTCACTAACTGTAAGGTCATGGCCTCAAACAGCAATCTCATCCTTTGAGATCAACTCACAGAACCTTAACTCACCTGCCCACCAATCATAGAATAGTGAAACTTGTCTTCCATCTCCCACTTGCATCCAAATGATATTTTTCAGTTGAGGACGGAGTTTTAAAACTTGCCTCCATGTCCAAGCACAATCCGCTAGGATTTTAACCTTCCAAAAATTTTCACCCCTCAACAGTACCACCTGTGCCCACTTAACCCATAACGACTCTTGATGTTGACATATATTCCAAACCAATTTGCCCAATGCTGCCTTATTCCAATGCATCAATTGCTTCACCCCTAGTCCCCCTTCTTTCCTTGGCACACATACATCATCCTATGCTACAAGAGACATTGCATTATAATTCCATTTACCACACCAAATGAAATTTCTACAAGCAGCATCCGTTAGCTTTAACACTTTCTTAGGAATCAATAAAGCACCACTCCAAAAAACTTGAATGTGGAATAAAACAGAGTTAACTAGTTGAACTCTACCTACATAGGAAAGGAATTTCGTTGCCCAAGAGCCAATTCTCTGATGAATTTTATCGATAATAGGTTGACATGCCCCAGGAGACAGCTTTTTTGAAATCAATGGCAACCCCAAATATCTAACTAGAAGCTGTCCCTCAGCAAAACCCAGCTTCTGAATTTAAGCAGCTTTCTACCCTTCTCTAACACCACTGAAGAAAACCTAACTCTTCATTCTATTCACTTCCAACCCAGAGACTTGGGCAAACTCCTCAAACTTTTGCATCATCAAAATAGTGGACTCCTCATCAGCCTTACAAAAAAGCATAATGTCATATGCAAAGATCAAGTGCGTAAGTTGCATCACTCGACACTTACTATGATATTTAAACTTCTCTTGCATATCTAACTCCTTCAATTTCCTTGTGAGATATTCCATCACTAGCACAAATAGATAAGGCGAGATTGGATCACCTTGTCGAAGCCCTCCTTGCCCTTGAAAATAACCCTTTGGCTATCCGTTTATCAATACAGAAAATCTGGTAGTAGAAACACAAAGCATAAGCCAGTAAATAAATCTGTCAGAGAAGTTCAGCCTTTTTAACATTGCATTAACAAAACCCCAATCCACTGAATCATATGCTTTTTGTAGATCAATTTTCATTAAGCATCTAGCTGGCCCCCTACTTCTATGATAGTTCCTCACCAGATCTTGGCACATCAATAAATTTGTCGTTATAGATCTGCCCTTCACAAATGCAGTTTGATTACTGCTAACCAGCATGCTCAGCACTTCATTAATCCTCTAGGTTAAAAGCTTTGATATCACCTTGTAGATGACATTACAACAAGCTATTGGCCTATAGTCACTGACACCATTTGGGCAACTCACCTTCGAAACAATAGTAATTTGGTGGCATTAATTTGCTTGAGGATTTTCCCACTATCAAAGAAATCCAACACAGCAGCCGTGACATCATTTTTAATTATTGACCAGGCTACTCTATAGAACCCTAAAGTGAATCCATCAGGCCCTGGTGACTTGTTAGAAGGAATTGAAAATAGAGCAGTCTCCACTTCCTTAGCAGTAAATGGCCTGCATAACTCTTCTAACTCTTCAATAGTTAACACTCTACCCCTACGGATAACATTCATATCAACTACTTGAACACCTTTTGCCTTTCCAAACAAGTTTTGATAGAACATTAAAAACTCTTGTTCTATAAGTTCAGGCTGAGTCACTCTAACTCCTTCACTGTTCAGGGATGGAGTTAATAACACTTCTATGCTGCCTCTCCTTTACTTTGGCATGAAAATAAGCAGAATTAGAGTCCATTTCCTTTAGCCAAGTTACTTTAGCTCGCTGGGCAATTACGGACAGATTTGCTCTCTCAAGCTTAGTTAATTCATGTTGAAGTTCCTTTTCTTTTGCAGCCAAAGTCTCATCAAATAAAGCATTATGCATGGAAGCTTGAACATTTTGTAGCTCTGCTGCCATATCTTTTATTCTTCCCCCCAAGTTTCCATATCTATTTTTATGCAGCTGCTTCATCTTCTGTTTCACCAATTTCAATTTCTGCACTACAACAAACATAGGGCATCCCTGAATATCCACACTCCAACCTTCCCTAACCAGATCAAGGAAGTTTTCATCCTTAGCCCAAGCATTGCAGAATCTAAATGGCCTTGGTTTCTCGTTCATCAATTCATCCACAATCACTAAAGAGGGTGAGTGATCTGAGGATTGTGGATTTAGAAAGACAACAGAAGTATTTGGAAATGTACTAACCCATGTTGAATTAGCCATTACCCTGTCCAGCTTGCACCACAACCTGTCATTTTCCCCTTGCTTATTACTCCAAGTGAAGAAAGCACTTGAAAATTGCAAATCAAAAACCTCCATTCTACTGACAAAATCCTTGAGCTCAGAGGTATCTCCCCAAACAACTCCACTAGGCTTCACCCTTTCACCATAATTTAGAGTTGTATTAAAATCTCCAGAAATTATCCATGGCACATTTTCAACATCTAGAGCTCTAACTTGATCCCATAATGCTACTCTACCATCAAAAGTATTAAAAGCATAGACAATTGTGCACAAAAATTTAACATCCCTAACTGCAGAGCATACTTCAACATGTAGCAATTGGTCTGTTTGTATTACTTCAATCACCCTCAAATCTGTTTTATTCCATAATATCCAAATTCTACCATTAAGATGAGAGTTATAATTATTCAACCATCCCCATTGCCTACCAAAAGTTTGCACAACTCGACTACTATTCTCTTATTTCACTCTAGTTTCTAATAAAGCCATAAATTGGACTTTATTTGAACATATAAACTTCTTAACATCTACTTGTCTAATAAGGTCATTTAAACCCCTCACATTCCATGAAGAAAGATATATCATGAGAGAGATTTACTTACAGAAGATTCTCCCCCTACTGCCTTTTGCATCATCTCTTTATCCCCTGTGCCAATACTAGTCTCACTCTGCAGATTCACTGACTTCATAGCTCCCACTTCTAGTTGCATTGGACTTTGCTCATTTCTTTCCACTATCAGCTTTCTAGAAGGACGTGAAAGTGTACTCTGCTTCACATTTGCTAAATTAGTAGCACTGTGCACTTTACCACCACATAATTCATCATTCCCCTCAGAAGACTTCGTGCCAACTATCTGATTGACCACCTGCTCCTCGGCAGGTTTTTTTTGGAACCCACACCTTTTTTTCCTTTGCAGTATAGTTTCTCTCTTCATGCCCCAGGTTTCTACATTTACCACATCTGACAGGCTCCCATTCATAGACCACAGGCTGCTGGAATACACCCTTAGGACCAATAATAGGAACTACACGGGGCAAAGTGTCCTTGATTTCCATCTCTACTAGCATACGAGCATAAGCCACTCTTTGCCTTTTAGCTGTTAATGCATCAGTTGCAATAGGAACTCCCACATAGCTTGCTAGCTTTCCTAAGCTCTCAGGGTTCTAAAGACTCAAATGGAGTTCAGGAAATTGGATCCAGACAAGAATCTTACTGATATCCAAATTGTCAGGATCAAAATCTGGAGTCCACTGTTTCAAAATCAAAGGATGCCCATTAAATGTCCATCGCCTCTCTAGCACCACTTGCTTTGCATCTCCATTATCAAAATCAAATAAGAAAACTCCATTTCACAGCGTAAACGCCTTAGGCACCTGGAATTCCCTCCACTTGTTATTCACATAATTAACAACATCCTTAAAATCAGGTTTAGATCGCAGAACATACCCAACAAGAGCATTCTCCCAAATCTTTGACCCTTTAACCCACTCATCCTCAGTAATAACCACAGCACCAATTGGATCTTGAGGTTTTATGTATTGCAAATCCCATCCTTTACTTATATCCCTATTCCCTTCCACAACCGAAGCCCAACTACGCAGTGGCTTCTACTTTAGAGATGGTTGAAATTCCCCTTTCTCCTTCTCAATCAGGTCACTCCATCGAGCACTAGGGGACATCGCCATACCGGATGTAGAACCAGCGTCCTTTTCACAAGACGGTTGCTTCATCTGGATGACAAAAGGTTGAGTCTCCGAGCGCACTCCCTGCTTCCCCTTTGCTACTTTCCCTTCCACAGGGCCGGCTTCGCTCTTCCCCTTATCTGCTCTTCCATCCTTGGGACCAGCATTGAATCTGCTATTCCTTTGGCCTTGCGTCGAAACTGCTAGATCTAGCAAAATTTCTTCAGCGTCCCCTTCTTTCTCCCCTAAATCTGGACTCAAACGCCCTGATTCCTCAATTTTGAGACCCATCTGGTTTGGATCGCGAGCAACAAGCTTTACGACCTCAGTTTGCTCTTTGTTGGTTTCCTCAACCGAGATGCTATTTTGCTCCCCTTTTTCATCTTTCAGATCTATTATTTTTGTTGCAGCACCACCCTTAGGTGGCGGATCTTTCTTTCTCGGCCGGCCTCTACCACCCATCTCTGGCGTTTCCAGCTAAACCACCACGCTCACGAACGATAGCATGGTTGACAGAGAGGAAGAAACAGGCGAGGCGAGATGAATCAAAACTCTTTTCATGACACTCCTTAAGCTAAATTTCCTAAGAATGTGATTTGTTTGAGGGAAGCGTCGAAAGAAATAAGTTTTTTAATTGTTTAAATTAGAAGAAAAAAATGCATATTAGTCTAACTCTTAAAAAAATTAAAGTTTTAATTTTAAATTGTGTGATTTTATTTAATTAAAACTCAGTTTAAAATTTAAAAATTTATCTTATAAAATATTAATATTTAAATTTAAAAATTAATTGGATTTTTGAATTTTGAATTGAATTTTCAATTTCTACATATAGATTAGAACTCTAATATTTTAAATCAAAATTGATATAAACTACTATCAAATTGTAATATTTTATATATTATAATTTAATTAATAAAAAAATTTACCTTTGCCCCTTCTTTCAAACTAAACCTGCCCAAAGTGTCTGACTCTCATTAAGTCATTGCAAATAGGCTTAATCAATAATTAATCTATTAATTATCAATTTAATTTAATTTTAGTCTAAAAAGTTTATTTTCTTTTTAAATAATCTGTAAACTTTGGATAACATTTCACAATAGTCCATTGTACAAAATTTTCATTAGTTTTAACTGAAGAATTAACTTAGAGTTAAAATAAAGTGATCCTTTAAGTTTTTAAAAAGTAACACTACAATCCAAATAAAATATAATGAATCAAGAAATGCTTTATAGAGATAGATTTGTTAGAATTTGTAATGAAATTGAGCAACTAGCTTAATTTGAAGAGAGAAACTTAGCAAGCTTAGAATATGAAGTTTTAGGAGTAAGTCTTGAAAATACAATAAGAGTTAGAACTTTTAACTATCAAATAAGAATGAAAAGAGAAAGAATAAATGCAATAAGAAATACTATTAATACACTTCTATCATCATTAATAATGAATAAGTAAACGATGTTAACATGTATTTACTCAATACATTAGGTAAAAATATAATAGATATAGAAGATACAATTATCATTAATAAGATTCTAAAAATAAAAACAATTAATGAAAATACTTTAAGAAGAATTAAAGAAATGGGAAAGTCCCTTTCTCAAAAGCTTGATTCTATTAAAGAAAAAATAAATAATGTAAGAAATTCTAGAAATTTGAAAGAAATGAAAGAAAAAAAAAGATTTATCAAAAACTCATAGACTTTGATATCTCGAGTTAGAGAGATAAAAATCAAAATAAAAGAAATTTTCAAGATATTAAAAGCAATCACTAAAAAATTTGCTATAAAAACATAAGATGTATAATAAAATAATCCCATAATTAAAAAGTGATATAGATAAAAATTTCTACAAGATCCAAACTCAACTTAAGGACCGACAAGATACTATAATATCAGTCTACAATAGACAAAATATTTTAGATAGAAATGAAGGATTTAAAATGATCCCAAAGATTTTCACAAAAAAACCTAAATTGAAATGAATAACATTTTTTATGTTAAAAACTCAAGAAAAAAAATTGAAAGAATTAGAACAAAGATTCTTAGAAGAGGAAAATGTAGAAGAGTTAAATAATCTGTGCAAATAAATTACAATAACTATTAGACAACTAGAAAATATGAAAATGAATCCCCAAAGAAAAGGAAAGGAAATTAAAGAAGAAAGTGAAGAAGAAAAGGATGAAAGGTCCCCTAATATAAATCCAACCAAATTCCCAATACAACAAGAAGTAAAATCTAGCATTAGTTAAAGTTACAAAAAAAAAAAAAAATAGAAATCATATACATGAAATGTTATATGATAGAAAGAAATTTGGAAATCAATCTAAACTTGAAGCCCCAATTAAAGTCAAAGAACAAATTATCAGTACCAATGGCATTTGGTTAGATCTAGACTATGTTACTGATTTAGAAAAAGTCATTAGTGACTGGGCTCGAGCCACTTGGATAGCCATATCCAATAGAAACTAGAATGCTTTACAAGCAATTAGATTTATTGAAGTCACCTTTAGAGGAATAGTTCATGATTTGTTTGTAGGTCTAAATGACGAAGAAAGTAATGCTATCATAGGTGAATATCCTGCTTCAGAAGAGGTAAATGAAAATGACTCAATTTAAGATATAATAACTAGGTTTGAATCAGCTATAAGAAAAGAATTTTTAGGAGAAAATTGGGAAGAAAATCAAGAGAAGGAAGAAGCCAAAGGTAGTAGAATAATAGTATGGAGTATGCAAAACTTAGAATTATGTAATCTTTGCAAATTAGATCAATATATTTGTTTATTCTAGAAGTATTATTATAAAGCCTCAAACCATGGAATGGCTAAAGGTTCAAGAGAATTATATTTTGGAAAAATCACTGATCCTTGGGAAATAAAGCTAGTAGAAGCCTATAGAATATATGTAGAAGATAAAATCAATACATTAGGTTTGAGAATTTGGTTCACTAAAACCAAAATAAATGAATGGTGTTTAGAAACCTATAGCCATATCAAATTAAGAAAAAGTATGAAAAAGGGGTTATGTTGTCCTAAAAATAGTGATCCAATCAAGCTATGATGTTGTTATTCAAACTACAAGAAGAAAAGCAAAAGATTTAAAATTAAGAGAAGTAATAAACAAAGGTTTAATAAAAATAAATTTTCTAGAAAGAAAAAGAGATGTTTTAAGAAAACAAAAACACCAAGAAAATATAAAAAGAATCCTAAGAAATGCACATATTGGTTATGTAAAGAAGAAGGACACTATGCAAATGAATGTGCTAAAAGATACAAAAGAGAAAGTATTAAAAATTTAAAGATCTATGAAGAAGAAACACTTCCAGCCAAGAAATAGAGAGTAGCTTTTTAAATAGTGATGAAAGTATATATAAAGTAAAAAGTTTAAACACTTCCAACAATGATAAATCTGAATATTGAGGACGAAGAAACTTATTCTGAAGAATATAAAGGATATGGAGAATATAGCCAAGTAACTGTATTTGATCAGAGTAAATATAAAAAAATTAGAGAAAATGGAATGGACCTTGTGTTAGAAAAGGGATTCAAGTCAAATTCCTTTATAAGTAATCCTTTTAAGAGGAAAGATATAGTTGATTATAGAATATCTACTAAAAACTATAGCATTTTTATCAAAAATACAACAGAAATAATAAATATACCTATACTCATTAAGGCAAAAATAAAAAGTAAATTGTCAAAAATCAAAGAATCTGATAGATCAAAAATAGGATTTATCCATATAGGAAGAATTCAAATCCTTATTAAAAGAATTCAAATCCTTATTAAAGCTCATTTTAGAGAAAGTATCGACACTCCAATAAAGCTAGCTTTAATAGATAATAGAATTAACGATAGAAAGAATGCTATCTTAAGATTAGTACAAGGTAACCTTATCTACCAAAAACTAATGTTCATAGTATATCCAAAGTATGCTGTAAACATTAATGATGAAACATTAATAAGACACTAAGCCTAGCACATTAATTTGCTAAAGAAAATTTTATGAAAGATGAATCAATGCCATAGTATTTACTATATGATAAGTTATGCATTAACCAATAGTCATCCGTCTAATCTTTTTAAAGACAAAATATATTGAATTAGATCCTATGTTCTCTAAAATAGGACAAATTCAGAAACTAGAAATGATCATTGAAACAGAACTACCCAAAGAATGGGAAATGGACATTAGTAAAAAAACACTTCTAATAGGAGAAAAAGAAAAACCTAGGTTAATGGCATATGAGTCAGAAAGACTATTAGTTAGAATAGAACTTGAACCAAGCCATAGAAATAATATAGACTTATGGGCTTTAAACTACCCTAAGAAAAATAAAGAAGTCTTACCTAGGACAACCAGTATAAAACATGACGTGGTGTTAATTAGATACCATAAAGATCCGCTCTAGACATTTCAAAATAAAAGGAGATTATTATGTTGAAAAAGAATGGCATAACATTTCTATCCTAATAGATACAAGAGTGGGAATAACACATATCCATAGTGATATGATCCCACACCTACAAAGATTTGACCTCACTAAGCCATACACATATTACAACTTTAATGGTGCAGTAACCACAATACATGAATATGCTAAAGTACCTTTTAAAATAAAGGATAAGAACAAGATACAACATGAAATCAATATAATAGCTCATGTTGAAATAGAAATGACTGCAAGTATTGAATTGATGCTAGGAAATATGTTCTTAACATCAATATAGCCATATAATATCCAAGAACATTGTTTGAAGATTACTTTAAGTGAAAAAGAAGTGATTATACCTAGATACTATGAAAACTAGTGTCTATAGTGTATACATATCCATTGGAATCAAGTGTGAAGAATACAAAACATAATTCTTTCATGCTTTTATAAATACAGGATCTGGGATATGTTTGGCAAAAACCAATGTATTCCTAAAGTATTATTGGAAGAAAACCTTTCAAACAAAGAAAGGTGTAGCCATAGATGGAAATACTATTCAATATTAGACAATAATAGAAAGAATTACTATTGTAATCAATTGAACTAAAGTTATAATTTCTCGAGTCTATGAAAGTAATGAACATGGGAATGACATTCTATTAGGAAACAATTTCCTAAGCCAATTTAAGAAGTATGTTCAAACTACATCATATGTGAAATTTTATACACCTTGTAAACATTGGCTTTATACCGTTAGAATTTATAATGCTTATATCAAAGCAATACAACCATTAATTTTTTGCAGCCAACGTGGTGAGGACAATAGAAAAACTTGTTCAAAAGAGATTAGAAAACCAATGTTAGCATGGTGTAATAATGCCTAGAATCTATTTCAAAAGAATTAAGAAGCAACTATGGAAAAGTCCCTACAAAACTATGGGAAGTTGATAAAACTTATGCCACTATCGAATTGATAAATCCAAAAAATATCATTAGAGTCAAACCAATGAGGTATAGTTTTAAAGATAAAGAAGAGTTCTAGAAGCAAATTTAAGAATTAACAACCCAG